TGAATATTTTCTGTCATATAAATAAATGTAAAACATGAGTTACATGAAATACTCCTGGGTCTGAAGCTTCATTCTGCCCATGTAGCAAGTTATCTGCAAGTGATTCTGTCCCAATCCACTACATTCAGTTAACCCTGGTAATGTTTTCAATTGCTTCAGTTTGAAACAGGCTCATGTAGAACTGAGATTAGAAAAATTCAACTGTTTTTATTCCTCCTTATGACGGTTGCTGACTCTAAACTTCGAAAATAATGTTCAAGGTCTCCTAAGGGAGTGTAGTTAGGAAGGCTGGGATTGAGTAGAATCACTGTGTAAGGCTAAGAAAAATGAAAACAAACCAAACAGAGGCTGTCTTTATTTGCAGCCAATTATCTCCTGGCTGTGGCCACCAGGATCTTCACCCAGTCTGTTTTCTGAATCTGGTTGTATCCTGCTACTCATTTTCAAAGGCATGCCATTCTCAGATCAGATAACATCTTTTTCATGACCTTTTAATTCTCATGGTAATATGAAAAGAACAGTTTCAGTGCAGTTCTTAGATACAATTCTAAAAATATAAAGATACTTGCTTTCTCCTCCCTCCTTCCATCCTCCCCACCTTCCCTCCATTCTTCCATCTTCCTTCCTAAGAAGAACTGTAATCTACTGATTAATGATCCACTAAATTCACAGATCAATAAGTTAGAAGTGAAAGGACCATAGTTCAGCAGGAATGTAGGCAAGGGCTATAAACAATAATCAAATGAAAAGATATTCATTCCATTCATATACAGTAATTTTTTACATAAACAGATCATTAAATATACAGTACTACATCATTCTTTACCATTGGTTTGATAAAGATATAAAATAATTTGATAATATTTATCTGCAACAATACAATACAGACTGCATTTATCTGTTTTTGTTTTTTTATACTTTCTTTTAATTTTAGCTCCCATTACAGGAGAGAACATGCAGTGTTTGTCTTTCTGTGTGCAGCTTATTTCATTCAATACGATGACCTTTGGTCGCATCCATTTTGACACAAATTATAGAATTTCATCATGTTTTATAGCTGAATAATATTCCCTTTTGTGTGTGTGTGTATCACATTTCTTTATTCATTCCTCTTATGATGGACACCTTGTTTGATTCAGTATTTTGAGTATTGTGAAGAGTTAGCCTATAAACATGGTGGTGCAGAAATCTCTTTGATATGATGTGTTCATGTCTGTTGGTGTACACTTAGTAGTGTGATTTCTGGATCATATCAAAACCTGTGGGATACAGCCAGATATTAAGAGGTAAACTTATAGCATTAAATGCTTATATGAAAGAGAAGTTTCTCAAATAAATGATCTAATGATGCATTTCAGAAATTTAGAAGAACAAGCCAAACTGCAAATTAGCAGGAGGCGAGAAATAAGAAGGCTCAGAGCAGAAATAAATTGAAGCTAAAAGAATCACAAAAGAACAATAAAATGAGAAGGTGGGTTTTTGAAACAATAAGCAGAATTTTTCATGCTCTGCTGTATGGCTCATTCCAAGTCACACTGGTCATCGACTCCAGTCTCATGAAGTCAGGAATTCTACAGAGAAATGACTACTTTCCCCTAGATCTTCAATACATGATCATCTCCAAACTTGACCAGGATTTTTCCTCTTCTGGAGAACTGACTGGAGTGACAGCATGGAGAGGCAAGCTAGTGAAAGCCCTAGCATCTTTCCATGGTTTCTGGGTCTCTGAGAAGCTCAGAGAAGGAATTCCTTCCTAGGCAGTCTCAGTTCCACAAGAATAAGGCATCCTCTATGTCCACCCCTTGCTAGGCCAATCTCTGTTACCCTCTCTCTGGTATTTTCTAACAGTTCTAAGACATTAGAATGTGTCTGGAGATTCTGTTGGTTGGAGGATTCCATGTAGGGATCGTGGTTCCAGTCTCTGTTACTTCGGGTTATTCCTATATATTGTGGGGAGTTGTCAAGAACAAGTTCAGAGTCCCCAATTAAGGCTCCCTAGATGTCTATCCTTGGCACCCCATTTGCCTGGCCTTTTGCTTTTCTCTTCCTCCTTTTCTTTCCTTTTCTGTGAAGGAAGCCTTTTGTGCTCTTCAGTAGTCTGGGTGAAGATTAAGAAAGACTGCCCTTTGCATAGGTGTTTTTGATTTAAGATTTTAAAAAATAGCCCACATTTTCCTCAAGTGGGTGAACTAAAAGTCCAGCACTTCCCATTTAGTACTCAAATGGGAAAGGGAATTTGATAACCCAGGGAAGCAGGAAAGGACAGATCTAAGTGATACTTCACATCAACACATTATATATGATCATAAACTCTTGTTAATATTACTGTAGAACTGTAAAACTTTCACAGTAGGGAACAATTCATATTTTAATATACATGAAATACGATTTTTACTGACAACTGATGAAATACTTCATTTTCATCTATGACAAATGTTAAAGTCAGCTTTAAACTGCTATAAAACTCAAAACTATACCTGTGATATATGTTTTTAATAGTACCCTTTATTAATCAAATAGGATTAGGGGACATTGAGTATCCTTAAATTATGAAAAGTGACATTTAAGAAAATTAAGTCATTGCTACACTTTCTGGAATCAATTTTTGCAGATACATTGTTATTTGGTTTCAAAACATCAAAATATTGAATCTTCATAAATACAGACTGTTTCTACAAATGTGTTGGTGAATCTCAGTTGGCCATTTTTATTGTTTATATAAAATAATACAATTAGATTGTGGAGACATGGAGAGAATTAGATTTTTTTCAAGTGACTGTAGTAACCCTCTTTACTCATTTTATTGAGTTGATAATTTAAAAATACCTTTACCTTTGATAGACTGTGTATCTGTAAGTAACTTCAGAAGAGAAAGGTTGTCTGAAAGATTTGTTTAACATTGATTCATCCATGTAAGGAATAGATTTTGACTTGTTATCAGTATGTCTGTGATTTCACATGTCATCTCGTAAGATCTCATAAGAGTAGAATATGCTTTAGATTTACCAGTTTCCTACTAAACAAGTTTTCAGTTTGATAATGTTTTTGTATTGTTTCTAAATATAGCATTTTTTACTAAAGGGGTCAGACATTTTAAAGTTACGTATTTTAAATATACTAATTATACATAAAGCATTTTAATCATATGTTAATTGCTCATCCTCCTAAAAAGCAAGGTGAGAGACTGGCATTGTGGTGTAGCAGGTGGAGCCGCTGTCTGTGATGCCAGCAGCCCATAAGGGTGCAGGTTCTTGTTCTGCCTTCTTCATTTACAATCCAGCTCCTTGCTGATGGCCTGGGGAAAAGCCAATGTTTGAGCCCCTGTACCCACAAGGGAGACTCAGAAAAACCTCCTGGCTTCTTCCTGGGCCAGCCCTAGCTATTACAGCCATCTGGGGAGTGAATCAGCAGGTGAAAGATCCTATCCAAGTCTCCCTCTCTCTATTTAACTCTAATTTGCCAAATAAATAAATGAATATTTTTAAAGAAAACGTCAAGGTGAATATACTAACTTCGACACCGAGTCCTTTTTGCAAATACTTCTCATAAACCTTAGGCGACCATCTTCAATGCATTCATCAGAGAGATATAATCTGTTGCATGTTTAAACATTTAATGCTGTAGTATCTGATTTAGTAGGCACAAACACCTACCCACAAACCTAAAATCCATATGAGAAAATGACATTTATCAAACATTTACAAATCAATAAAATAGATTATTAACATTCGGTGTAATTGTAATGAACTCTGTAGGAATATAGAGGAAGGATATCCATAGGGACCATTCTATGCTAAATGCAAGGAGAAAAAAAAAAAACCTTGATGATGACAGGACCTGAAGTTGGCTTTTAAAAACTGACGTGAAAGAGATGGTTTCCCTACATTTTAAAAGTATTAACAGATCAAAATGTGAGCGAAGTAAGACAGCAGAGTTCACCTAGTTCATCATCACATTTTATGTCATCTTCTGACTCTGATGTGTAGACCACATTTCTTTACACTTCCTTATCCTGGCTGCCAATAGTCAGTCAACCTCACACCCATTATACACATAATAATGGGAAACATTCTATAATGACTTCTGAAGTTTGCTTAGAAATGTTCCCTGTCAATAAGAAAGTAAATTCACTGTTGTTCAAAGTACTCTATGGATTTTTCCACCGTAGCAGTCTCAAATATGTTATAGGGATACTCTTGGACAAAGCGAACTGTACTAAACAATCTGAATTTCCCCTGTGCTTACACAGGTTGCTAAAGCTACTCTTCCCTTACGTTTTATCTCTTTGAGATTTCAGTCCCACCCACCCCTTGAAACCTAGTAGAGTGCTGATTTCTTCTTTGAACCCCTGTGATGCTTTCTGAGTCATTACTTTGGCAACTGCCTTACTGGACTATACTCTTCTGCACTTAACTTGTTCTCTACTGCTGAACAAATTAATGTTACCTGCTTTTTTCATATCACTTATAGACTAGTTAATGTCTGTAAAGTAATTACAAAAATCTGTATAGCAATAAATGTTTAGAATATTATATATGCATATATAATCAAAATATTATGGACATTCCAATTTAATCATATGAAGTATGATGAAATTCTCAAGAACTAAGTATTAACTATAAATCATATATATAAATAAAGAGATGAAGAAAGGATAGTCACCATGAGATATAGGTAAATTCTTATGGGAGCATACATTTGTGGGATCAGATTTTTTAAAATTTTATCTGCATATCTATTTTGATTCATTTATTAAGCAAAAATCAGAGAAGAAATATGATTTTGTTGGAAAATTGATTTAGTTCATATAAATAGAACTTGCCTACTTCAGGAGTGGGATTCTAGAGGAAAGAGTAATATTGCACTCTTAAGAACTGAAGGGTTAGGTGACTGAGCCATAGCTGAAGATCCGATGTAAGGAGCCAGTGGCCCATTGGTGGTTATACCTACCAGGATCCACGGATGATCTAAATAGTTTGAAATGGAGGTTTTTGAATCAGTGTATATAAATCTGAGAACAATTCAAATGTTTGTCCTTTTACCGTTTGCTTATTCATGCCTCTGGTTATTTCAACTTAGTCCACAATACTGATGTCTGTCTATAGGACATCTATTATTTCAGACTGAAGCCTTTGGCCTTTGTTCTCCTTTAATGTACTCAGCTCCCTGTAACAGATATAAAGAATGTAGAACATTTGTTAAAAGAGAACATCAAAATATGTAGAGACACTTAGAGGGAATATGAAATATCTCTTTATTGTTTCAATGGAAGCATGGTCTTTTAGGTCAGGGGTTTAAAAAATTCAGTGTCCTCTGGAAATGTTCAGAATGTGTTCTTTACGTGAAAATCTGGTGCAGAAATTTTAGTCAATACAGTTAAAGAGTTTTAGTAAATATTTTTGAATGCTTTTGTGAGAGGAATGTTTTTAATTACACAAAAATAGAAATGGGTATCTGAGGGGCTACAGGTAAAGCTGCCACCTACAATATTCGCATCCTCTATGGGCACTAGTTTGTATCCTGTCTGCTCCACTTCTAATCCACATCCCTACTAATGGCGTGGGAAAAGCAGCAGAAGATGGCCCAAGTGTTTGGGCCCCTTCTAAACACATGGGAGACCTGGAAGAAGCTCCTGGCTCCTGCCTTTGGACTGGCCCAGCTGTGGCTGTTGCAGCTATCTGAGGAGTGAACCAGTAGCTGGAAGATCTTTATGTGTTTTTTTCCAAGTTTTTTTTTAATTTGACAGGCAGAGTTAGACAGAGAGAGAGAGAGAGAGAGACAGACAGACAGAGAGAGAGGTCTTCCTTCTGTTGGTTCACCCCCCAAATGGCTGCCACAGCCAGCGTGCTACGCCAATCCGAAGACAGGAGCCAGGTGCCTCCTCCTGGTCTCCCATGTGGGTGCAGGGCCCAAGCACCTGGGCCATCCTCCACTGCCTTCCCGGGCCACAGCAGAGAGCTAGACTGGAAGAGGAGCAACCAGGACTAGAACCGGTGCCCACATGGTATGCTGGTGCTACCAATGGAAGATCAACCAAGTGAGCCACAGCTCCAGCCCCAAGACCTCTCTCTTTACATCTCTCCCTTTCTCTGTAACTCTGAATTTGAAATAAATAAATCTTTTTAAGAACTCCAAATGAATATCAGAAAATACTGAGTGTTCTGGAAATACTGATTTCTGGTGAGCCTCGCTCTATTTATGTGTGTAACACGCCTGCTGTGTTCCCATGTGTTCTTCTTAGATGGCAAGTATCTAGCTGTGGGATCGTACACAAAGTATGCTGAGGATCATGTATTGTGAGCAATACATTGTGTTTGGAAGTGCAATTTGAGATTACTGAGTCAGTTTAACACTAGCTCAGGAAGTGTTAGGATGAGGGCATGCCACAGTAAGGAGAAAACAGAACTCTAGGCAACAACAACATGAGAGATTCTAAATTTTCCACATAATGCTAAGCAAAATAAATTGTAACTATCACTATTAAAATATCTAACCAAATTAAAGACCCAAAAAGGGAGTATGTGCCAAGCAAAACAGTTGTGCATTATCTTCAATAGTGGAAGGCATTGTAAAATACAGACTCCATGAGAGGCACTTACTAGATACTTTATGTATCTTACATTATATAATTTTCACTTGCTTAGTACAGCAAGTCATTGATTTTTACACAATTTAAGAACCTATGGTTTACAAATCCAAACTTTAGAGTTCGAAGACAGTTCTTCCTAGCTTTAAAGCTAGGCTTTCCATGTACAATGATAATAGATGCTCACCAATTTTAGTAATGTGCAAAAGGTGGTAATTGGGTTGAGGTAAGAAAGTTGGTGCAGATTTGAGTTGAGAATAGGATGTATAAGCAGGGATTTACTAATAAAATGTGATAAGGGAACGCAGCATTTATCATAGGATCAGTGATGAGCTGTGGAACATTCCACGTGGGTATTTTATCTCTGAAATGACTGTAATGGTCCATGGTGGAGAATCTGTTTTCTTTGCATTTGAGAAAAGAAGAAGCACAACACAGAAAAGCAGGAATACACACTCAAAAGACGTGAGTGGTAAGCAATTAGGTTGAGAACCTGACTGTGGGTTTCTCACAATACAGGTGATTAAAGGCACAACCTGTACAGTTCAGATAGACCTCGCCTGTCTAGGTTCTTTTTCCTTTAATAAGGTTATGCCTGGTGCTTAATATAATCATGACTGTATTCAAGGAACATTGGAACAAACAGGTTCAGGAGGACACATGTAGAGAAATAGGAATTGATTGTAGCAGAAAGGGAAATAAAATAGGAATTGGTTGGCACTTCTGATTCTGGCTGATGGAGCTGGTAGAATTAGGAACATATTTTCAAGGTCATTCACTTAAGAATGGGGTTTATGGAAAAAAGATACAAAGTAACTGCAAAGAGTTTATGAAGAATGGAATAAGAAGCTAGATTTACCTTGGTACAAAAATGTGTGAAGCCATTTTGATAACGCACATTTTCCACGAACTTTTGAAAAACCTCTCGTATTCTGCAAGAGTCATTGCACAGGTGATGTTTTTGTTAGATAGTTTATAGTGAAGAGAACAGTCTTTGAAAACAGATGACAAGTTAACGATCTTGGTCTCTGAGTTAGTAGTTGTAGCTAGCTCTTTCTGCAAGGTCCATTACTTTACTGAGCATTATTTTTATTTTCTTGGGTTTTTAGAGCAAATAATGAAAAAAATAACAGTAATTAGTCCTCATCTGCTATGTCCCAGACAATACATGTAGTGATTCATGGGTGTTACCTTATTACATACTCATAATATGATTTTAAGGTAAATTGTACTGTTGTCTTTTATAACAAATGAAGATTGAAATTTGGGTGCTTTTTTGAGTCCATACAAGTAGTAAATGGCAGAGCTTAGGCAGTCTTAATCTAAGGCCCAAACATTTAACACTGCTATCTAAAGCCTATTACTTATTACCTGAAATACAAAAGCATTAAACAAATATTAAGTTCTTTCTATCCAAATTATTCCAAACTATTAAGACTTCAGCACTGTTGTTAATGATTTCTCTAAGCTGTCAATAGGAAATTTCACTAATGTTCTGGTCTGTTTGGTTCTAGCACTGATACATTCTGTTCTTTGTAGCTGGTATTATTTCTCATGGAAATATAGATTGCCGGTCCCACAAATTTAGGAGCAGTCGTAGACACAAAGAGCATGGTGAGGAATGATGGGATCCAGATGCTGAATTTATGGAGAAAGGTGGAAATGGATCCCAGAACATATTTTATTTTCCCAGTGTTATAACCAGATTCAAGGATAGAAGAAAAATGAAAATAAAATGGCATCTTTTTATTTTATTTTATTTTATTTTGTTTTTTGAACTTTTATTTAACAAATATAAATTTCCAAAGTACAGCTTATGGATTACAGTGGCTCCTCCCCCCCGTAACTTCCTTCCCGCCTGCAACCCTCCCATCTCCCGCTCCCTCTCCCATTCCATTCACATCAAGATTCATTTTCAATTATCTTTATATACAGAAGATCAATTTAATATATATTAAGTAAAGATTTCAACAGCTTGCACCCACACAGAAACACAAAGTGTAAAATACTGTTTGAGTACTAGTTATAGCATTAATTCACATTGGACAACACATTAAGGACAGAGATCCTACATGAGGAGTAAGTGCACAGTGACTCCTGTTGTGGACTTAACAAATTGACACTCTTGTTTATGGCGTCAGTAATCGCCCTAGGTGGCATCTTTGATTTAGAAACAAAACTAGCATCCAAGAGGTGGGGTCATTGCTTTGGAATGTGTTTCTCTGTGAGAGAGTACAGTGACATGTTCCATTATCAAGAAAAATAAATGTTTTATTCTGATGATAAGATGCAAAGAAATACAGAGCAACATGGGAGAACAGCTGATGCTACAAAGAGCAAGGCTTCTCACGGTCATATTTTAGGGACAGTAGAAGATGGGTAAGGAACTATATGCAAGGCAGTAAACCTAAGATACTGATTTTCATGAAATATTTCAGTTAATAGGAGCAAGTATGGACGATTTTTGCAAGATAAGCACTTAGCAGGGATGGAGGAAGCATTGGTTTCAGAAATAAAGCAGTAATGATAAAAAAGATCCCTCACCATATTTTTAAGGTTATGCAAAATAATTCAAATGTTGAGTTTCAAGATGCCTGGGAAAATAATGCAAATTGTCATTTTCCTATTGATGCTGCTATGCCTTCATGTATCAGAAGTTCTATTTAAATATTTACCTCTCATCAGCATTATGAAACATAGCATCCACCTCTTCATATTCACAAGAGAACTTATTGTAGGAGTTCTCTAATCCAAAATGACTATATAAAAAGAAATCTGAGTTATAATATATTGCATTTCAATAATGTAGTCAGTAACAGATACATTCCAAAAGCTGTTGAAACCCACCAATATTTAGAGATCCCCAAAACAGATATAATTAATCTGAATAATATACACAGCTGTAATTTATCAGGTTGACTCAAAGGAGATAAATCTTACTAAAGACATGGAATTAATCACAGTGACTCCAGATAGGATCCCATAAATCTTCAATACTGTTTTTAATTTTTCTAATATCTTCCTTTTTTGTTTTTGGTCTGATTGAAAAATTTCCTAAGATTTGTCTTCTAGGTTAGACATTCTTTCTTTTGCCTTATCAATTCTGTTTCCCAATTTTCTTATTTCACAATTAGTTCTTTATTTCTAATAATTTATTTTGATTTCTCTTTAAAATCCTCATTTCATGAGAAAATTTTCATTCTTCTTGTATGGGTTTCTTAAATCATGGATTTCCTCCCTATCATTTATGAGTAATCCTATTAATCTTGTGAATTCCATTTGAGAAATTCTATCAGTCTCTTCATCTTCATAATCTAATATTGAAGTGTTTATGGGCTCCTTAGAGGGTGTCATGTTGTCTTTCTTAATCTTGTTTCTTGAATTTTTGCATTTATTTTTAGGCATTTGTGGAGATATTTGTTTTTTTTTTCCTCTGATTGCTTTTCTCTGAACAATGCCTCTGTGGCTCAGTGGAGTATCTGCTCTTGCAATGTTAATGAGAAGCTTGTGCTGGGTGTGGCCAGAGAGCTCTGGTCAATGCTGCACGATGGGATGAGTATCCTGGGTGATACACAGGTTGGGTGTGTTTGATCTCTTGTTAACATAAGGGAGGTATGGTCACTGTTGACATAATCTTCAGCTTTTCCCTTACAAGGTGAGCAATGCCTGAGTGTTAACCCTCAGTGAATGCAGCACTCATCTACACTTTTGCATTAACTGCACAAGAGATCTGTGTAGTCTTCACTGTGAACATGGATCCTGCTGCAGTGGCATACCCCAGGCAGTCAGGGAACTCTGAGCATGTGGATCTGCACAATGTGATTGCTCAGAGACCCAGCTACACCCTGAGCCTTCTCATGCAGTCAGAATTCTCACAGTCTCAGCAGTCAGGACTCCCACAGTCATAGAGTGCCAAGGAAGCACTCCACCCCCTAGCTTGTCATGTCCACAGGGAGGCTGAGATGTTCCCAGAGCCTGCTGCCACCTAGGCAGTTTGAGCCCCTGAGGCCCAGAGCCTGTTATGTTGAGAGGTTGGGGGCACCTCACAGTTGTATGTGGTTGTCCAGTGCCTTTTTAATCCCCTCAGCCAGAATCAAAGTCTGTGGAGAACGTGGGTTTTCCCCCTAGTAAAATCCCTGAATCATATGTGTGCACAATACCTGCTGTCTGCAGCTATACTCATTTCGCAATCATGCTGGTCACATACAAGTGTCTGCAGCCAGTATTAATGTCAGAATGGCTCCTCCCCACCCATTTCTGGGTTCATGCACAGAAGCTGTTGTGTTTGTCTCTACTGACAAGATGGCAATGTTCCCCACCAGTTGCACCTGAGACACTGCAGTTGCCTCTGCTGACAAGATGGTAACCGTCCTCGGTGCACACGCAAAACCTACAGCAACTACCACATACTTACATCAAAATGGTGCCCAAACTCTCTCATCAGTGGCCAAATGCCATTGTTGGGGGGGTATGGTGAGAGAGAGGCCCCTTTTCTTTTTTGTCTCAGTGAGCAGGCGCCCTGTTCCCTTCAGGGCTCTAGTCTGGACTCAAAGACAGTGCCGTCCTCTAAGCTCTCATTGTGGCTATATCACCAGTGTCACAGGCCACTTCAGTCTGAATTCACATTATTCTGCAAAGCTGATACTTTCTCCAGCTCATGGCTTCTGGGATCATTTTTTGTGTCTGTGCTGTTTGATGTGCCTCTGTACCTTCCACACAGATCTACAACACCTCTCCTCCTTCAACAGAATCTCCATTGTGGTTTTCCAACTCTCCCCTGAGAATGCCTTTCTCCACTTTTAAAATACTATTTCCCCTTGCCTACAGCAGACAGCCCTGCTGCTGTTCTTCCATCATACAATCTTCCTCTCTGCATTTCCTGGGAGCTGTGTGGTCTGCTAGTGCCCCATAGTACTCCAAGATGTCGAAGCCCTTCTCCTTCCCCTTCCCCTTCTTCTTCCTTCCCCCCTTCATCTTCTTAGTCTGTCTTCTTATCCTTTTCTAGTTTTTAAAAATTTTATTACAGTTATACACTTTTCATGTATTTTATATTATATACAGTGTAGGAACATAGTGATAGTTTCCACTCAACCCTCCCTCTTGCCCATTCTGCAAACCTTCTTCCACCTGCCTCTCCCATTCCTGCTCTTAATTATGACAAAGACTGATTTTCAGCCTGCTGAATGATCATGAAGTTAACACTAGACTATAAGAGATCAACAAATAATATGAAGAAAAAAGTCACTGTTCCTCAACAGAAGAGACAAGGGCTGTAAACAATCATTGAAACTCAAAATGTCCATTTCACTCCAACACATTTCATTTTAGGTACTATATTAATTACCTCAGATCAGGGAAAACCTTTGGTATCTGTCTTTTTGGGACTGGCTTATTTATGTAAGTATAATGGTTTCCAGTGGTGTCCATTTTGTTGCAAAAGATTTTGCTATTTTATGGATTTCTCTTTTCTGGAGCTGAGTAGTACTCAAAAGTATATCTATAATTTATTTATTCAGGCATCCATTGATGGACACCTGGGTGGATTCCATATCTTAGCCATTGTGAATTGTGCTGCAACAAATATGGGGTACAGATAACTCATATGCTGAATTATTTTCAGTTGGGTAAATTCCCAAGTGGGGTGGCTAGAACATATGGTAGGTTTATATTCAGATTTCTGAGGTATCTCCACATTGTCTTCTACAGTGGCTGCACATTCCCATTAACAGTGGAACAAGGTAACTTTTCCCCCACATTCTCACCATCATTTGTTGTTTGTTGACTTCTGTATGAGAGCAATTCTCACTGGAGTGAAGTAGACTTCACTTGTGGTTTTGTTTGAGATTTTTCTGATTACTAGTGATCTGACCATTTTTTTCAAGTGTCTGTTGCCATCCTAATTTCCTCTCTTGAAAAATGGCTGTTCAAGTCCTTTGTAGATGTCTTAACTGGATTGTTTGTTTTGCTATTGTTGAATTTTTTAAGTTCTGTATACATTCCAGGTATTAACCCTTTATCAGTTGCATAGTTTGCAAATATTTTCTCCCACTCTGTCAGTTGCCTGTTCACTTTGCTGAGTATTTCTTTGGCAGTGAAGAAACTCCTTAGCTGGATGTAATCCCGTTTTATAATTTTGGCTTTGATGGCCTGTGCTTCTGACTTTTCCAAGAAGTTTTTGCCTAT